CCCCCCCCCCCCCCCCCCCCCCGCTGCCCCCGCCGGCATTACATCGATCCCCCAGGTGCATAACTTTATATTTATGCAAATTTGCTGCAGTACAAACTCCTCAACATACATATCTAAAGGAAAAAGCAACAGCATTTCCATGAAGAAGAAAGACTGGAAAGACTGAAGATCCCCTCATGGAAATGGATCAATGTGAAGACCAGTCAAAAGACATTTTGAATGAACTGTCACAGTGTCACATAGTGACTCCCATGCATTGATAGAGGAACTATGAGCAGATGAGGTTTTGTTATTGAAAGGTGCTGTAAAAAAAAACAATGATGTAAAATAGTGTGATTTAAATTAACATTGACAAAAATTAAGATGCGTTAAATTAAGGCAATTTTTTTACAGTTGCGTCAATAAAGTGCATCGTTAATTTCCTGTAATAAGGTAAGAGAAAACATAAGAATTTCTTTCCCAAGGGAAAAAGACAGTCGTCCATATAAGCAGGCGTCTGTAAAGCAGGGTTTTACTGTACCTGATCTCCTGAAGCTAGAAGAGGCATAATAACTGATCCATCTGTGGTATCTTTGCCACTAAGAATCGGTACAAGACATCGGAACACAGCTCCAACAACTTTGGGTGGCTGGCTTCCTCGACTACCAAATCCTCCCTCAAAACACAGAATTCTTTTAAAGCTATACTGTTCAGGAAGCGGCTTGGACCACCAACAGAAGTACTGCCTGCGTAAGTCTTCCTCTTTGTCTTGAGAAAGATTTCGGACACTGATACCAAGGTTAATAGCCAGTGCTCCAATCAGTGAAGACGGAGTTGGTGAATAATCACCTTAAAAAATCATGGAAATATCGTTCACATGGTTAACTTGCCATTAGCATGAAATACTAAAAAAAAAAGCATTGCTTTTCACCCTTAAACCACTCCTTTACACTTACACTTGTCAGGACCTGTCACCATTGCATGGCCCCATGTACGGTAAAGGTAAGGGCCGCGCTTTCCATTTGTCAGAATAGACCGGCCAAACCATTCCCCTCGTAATGGAATTTCACTTTTAATCAAAACTACCCAGCCAGATCAGTCAAATCCTAAATAGTATGCACGACGGAGATGGTTTTTCAGCAAAAACCTTTTGGAAAAAACCGATTTCATTTGCTAACTGACTGGTCCGGCAGAAGTCAGGCTGGCCACTTCTGACAAATGGAAAGCGCCCTAAGACAGTCTTGGACATTGTAAATTCTGGATTCCAGGGACTTATATTCCAGATCCCAGTTGTTATCAGGAGTCCGGATTCCAACAGGAGTCCAAATTTCACAAGCAACAAGCAAAAATTTCACGGGACTCAGGAATAATCTGAATTACATATTTACAAAAAAGAATAGAAAAAATTGAATATGGTACAGAAACATTATTATAGTTCTTTTCTTGTAAAAACCTGCAGTTCTTACAGAGGAAAATAAATAAATAAACAACTCACTAACTGACGTGAATAAATAAACTGTTTTCAAACCAACAGTATTAATGATAAATTTAAAAGGAAATCAGGGCCGGCCGGGGCTTACAAATGTAGTTATGAAAGCAGTTTGATGGATTACTTTAAGGGGAAAATAGGAAGCCTCAGTAATCGAGATATCTATTTTCCATGTGACAGCAAATCTAGATCGTAATTTTAAAATTAAGCTCAACCAAAAGTTGAGAGTTGTGTCAAATAGTTTGTCATCAAAAGAGCGGCATGCACATGGTCCAATATACAGAAAATCATAGCATTAAATCAAATTACATACGATATCTTAAACAAAGCGTAATCCTAGAAATCTCAAGGGTTTAATTCTAAACTG